CCAGGGCACTGTAGATAGTTAAGTAGCACTTCTGCTTGGAGAACTCTTCTCTCCTTGCAGACAATCTAATCATACACCCTGACACCTCCCACCTGCTGAAGTTCGCCTCTCCTCCTCCTTGAGGATGTATGCTTTCCGTCTACTCAAACTCTCACCATCACACCCAGTCAACCACGCTATCGACAAGCTCCTCAATACTCAAGCAACTCCAAGGAAAAAGAAGCCGGCAACTCCTCAACTACAGCGAATCCACCGCTCTATTAGCAACTTATACAACCTTGAAGACCTTGAGCAAATACACCACTTCCACTTCCCTCCATGGGAAAGAGAAACTCCTTACAAGGTTCACATTAGCAAACTTTCAAAAGAAGAGGAAACTAAACTTCACCTTCGTCTACTCCAAAACAACTCAGATAACAGCATTTTCATCTACACAGATGCATCCTCTACAACAACAGAAAATAGCCAAGGAATTGGGGTAGGTTTGTCTGTAATCTCACCTCAATCAAACAGAATCCACTACGAAAAGAAAGTCAACATTGGACCAAACAAGCTCGTCTACAACGGTGAAGTTGAAGGGGCCACGCTAGCAGTTGAATACGCTGCCAAGCACGCTAGACCAGGGATCCATTTCCACATCTACTCCGACAACCAGGCAGGTTTACGGAGGCTAAAAACCACATCAGATAACCCAGGGCAAGAGTGCCAAATCAGAGCTATCACAGCTGCCCGGAAGGCAGTTAGCAAGGGAGCTACTACCACAATTCACTGGGTACCAGGTCACACCGACATTCCAGGAAATGAGAAAGCAGACAAGCTTGCAAAAGCCGCCACCACAATCCAACCATCCACTCAACTCACTAGCTTTGCTATGCTAGGAGTCAAGATCAGGCAGACCCAGAACAAAGAATGGCGTCAAAAGCTTACTACACCCCCCGGGCACACAGAACCATCAACTAACCAACACTCGTATCGAAGGGAATTCCCATGGAAGATTCTGTCGAAACCTTGCGTCCCCCAAGGAACAAAAAGAGAGATAGCCAGCGCCTTTTATCAGCTTAAGCTAGGCCATGGATACTTCAAATCATACCTACACAAGCTCGGCCACACTACCAACAACCGCTGTAGATGTGGAAGACAAGAGACTCCCACTCACCTCCTTCTTAGCTGTCCAGAAACTGGGGATGCTAGGAAAGTACTAAAGCGCAACCTCCTCAAGCATCATATTCGAGAGTTCACCATGAAATCCCTCCTTCACACCGCCAAAGGAGTCGAGGCCACACTTGACTTTATTCGAACCACCAAAATCGCCACTAGAATATGGCACACACAACGCGCAACTGAGGATGAGAACGAAGATGAGGACGAGGAAGACGAGGACGAGGAAGACGAGGACGAGGAAGACGAGAACGAGGAAGTGTAGCGTACAGAGCGTGAAACGAGGGGGCGTACTACAACATAACAACTTTTCTTTTGTCATAACCAGAAGCCTAGCTGCTTCCAACAACCCAAGAACTGTAATGACCATAACCCCCTTCTCAAACATGTATTTAGTACAGCTTTACTCATCTGTTGGAGGGAAACCTCCAGCCGTGCTACTATAGTCTCAGACTCACACAGCACGTTAAAAGGAATAATAATAATAATAATAATAAGGTGTCTACACGCTACTTTCTTGTTACTTTTATATCCTTACGTTCGTGGTATTACGGGTCTATCGATTGAGAAGCGACAGCGCAAAGGAAAGACGCACTGACTGTTGTAAGCCGAAATCGACAGAAATAGCATTGTCGGTTAATTCTCAAACTTATGCCGGATTATACTGTATGCGATACTGTTTGTGGAAATAAACTTATATACCAACCCTAATGAAAGCGGATGCCTTAAACTCAAAAGATCGAAACTTACATACGCCACGACCAGGAGATAACTACTCCGTAAGTTTCTAAATTATCGGGAAGTTTTGTATAGGCGATTTTAGTAACAAGTTAGTATCGAATAAAATATACAACAAAAGACTAGGGAAGTAGGAATAGATTCATATGCAAATACAAATACGAGGAGTCTATCCAGAACTCGAAGGCTTATATCGCTCGAGCTAGGCTTAATCAAGGACTAAAAAGTGGCATAACCCGTAGTGTGGCTTTTGTTAGTACCAACACCACTCAGGCCTCCGATCCTCGAAAGTCGCTTGCTAGTTTCAAAGTCTTCGCATAAATATGGTCCACGATTTAGCACTAACTTAATAGTCAGTGCGTCCTTCCTTTGCGCCGTCGATTAATAACTTCAAGACTATCACTAAAGATCTTTGGCAAAATTTCTCTTCTTTGGAGTGTGGAGTAGTGGTCCTACTCGATCAAGCCCGTTCCGTATGGCTATTCTGAATCGACTAGCACCCCGCCACTGAAACAATGATTTACAACATGACTAGCGACAGTAAAAGTTCTCGTTTGGGAGCCAAGGACATGGTCTTGGGTACTTTATATTATCACTATTTAATGTATATAACAAATGTATATCCCCTATTTCAATGTAACGAACCATACAGGGCCTTGAAGGCAAAGACATAAGAATCACCGCTGCATTTACTTAGGTACTTCCAAAAAGATTCCAACATGTCAACTCAATTCAGTGTTCCATTATGCAATGGCATCGATCTCGCTTATTGTCCAGGTTCCATGGGCGTTATTCAACGCTTGTTGTCTCTCACGAGTCGGAATAATTTACTTGGACTTCTCCTTGCGCTTGCGCTCTACTATTTGGGGTCCCCCTTGAAAAACAAAGAATCCGCCCAATTACTCACCAGAATTCCCGGCCCATGGTATGCACCTTTCACGGGGCTTCATTTGCGATGGATGTTCGGTACAGGAACTATCTGGAAATACGCATCAGACCAGCACCGGTGCCATGGAGATATCATCAGACTTGGACCAAGACAACTCTGGGTGTCAGACAAAGCGGCCATGAAAGATATTCTCCAAAAAACAGACCTACCAAAAGTAACTATGTATGCTGAGATATCCAGAGACCGAAGAAGCCCGGGATTATTTGGGGAAATGTGAGTTCTCTTTGCCTCATACTTGCTGTGTCAAGTCCTCCTTATGGATTTACGTATGCTAATCATTTTCAAGTCGACCGGAACCTCATAAGAATCTCAAGCGTTTCCTTGGCCCAGCATTTACTGTATCTTCAGTTGATACCCTCGACCTTTTCTTCAAGGATTGCGTTCAAAAGCTGCTCAGAAACTATTACGCGATAGTTGACTCAGAATCGACGCCAAAGGCCGCTTTTGAGACTGACCTAATGCGCGACCTTCATTGTTTGGCACTGGACATGTGAGTTTACTAGGAACCCTAATATCTTTACGCGCGCTAAATCTTAGAAAGTATGGGTGAAAGTGCTTTCGGTAAAAGATTTGGTCAGGTTGATCAAGTTTTTGATGCTACGAAGATACGGACCCAACGAGAGAAGGAATGGTTCAAGATTCCCGACGCAATTTCCAGCGGGCTGGCAAAAAGGTACAAGGTAAGAGATGAGTCTATATCGTATGATATGATACGTTGTTGATAATTCCAAATAGTCGGTATTTGTGAAAAGGTTCTTTCGCCGATTAGGCCTCGATATCGAGTTTGACTGGCCCAAAGAAATGACTCGAGCCATTTCCACCTTGATCGATGAGAGAAGGACGAATGAAAACAGGGACCCCAATGCTCGTCGAGATGTTCTCCAACATATGTTGGAAGAGGGGACACGACCAGATACCGGCATACGGATAAGCAACCAAGATATAATCGATCAGATGTCTGAGTTGTTACCTGCGGGATCTGAAACTACCTCAGGTAAGTTATCTTGAGTATAATAATTGTACTTCCATGTTAACGGACTCAAAGGAACAATCGGGTTTCTCTTCTTGGAATTGGCTCGGAACCCAGATGTGAGAGCAAAGCTTCTTGCATCTCTGCCTGTACTCTCGGCCAGCGATCCAATTCTCGACAGCAAAACTGTCCGCAAGCAACCAACATACCGATATCTCGAGGCTTGCATCAAGGAGAATCTTCGCATGCACCCAGTTGCATCTGAGATGGGCAGACGGACAATCAAAGAAAGCCTACAAGTTCAAGGCTATATAATTCCCCCACATAAAGTTGTTTCTGCTTCATACCGTATGCTGCACCTCGATGAGAGGTACTGGCCCGAGCCCGAAAGTTTCTGGCAGGAAAGATGGCTACAGAGAGATGAACGAGAGGGAGCGCCAGAACCTGAGTAAGTCCAATCACTTCACTGAAGTGTGAAGAAGGTAGCTGATAGAAGCAGTATGGATGCATACTACCCTTTCTCTGCGGGTAAACATTCTTGCATTGGCGTGAAGTAAGATTTCAGTTCCACAGTATATGAACACGAGGCTAACAGGGTGGATTATAGTTTTGCTATGGCTGAAATTCGCACTGCATCTGCAAATATCCTCTCTCGGTTTGATGTTCAGGAGCCATATTACCAGGAGATTGACGTCTGCCAGTTCATTACCATGCAGTTCGGCGATGGATCTTGGAAGGCAAGTTCAGAGCGGAACGTTCCATATACATTTACTGATTTTCTGGGGTTGAATTTATAGACAAGAATGATTCCACGTAAGGCATAAATTGATGCTGTCGGAAATTTATCTTGAGCCCGCCCGGTTAGCATAGAGGCTCTTGCGTTGACATTGTGTTCTTTTTGCTTTGTATAGAACATCTCTTCACAAAATTTCGTCTTTTGAATATACTGTATCTCTTTATGTTATTTCCTTCTAAAGTGTACTCAAAGCAAGAGCCCAATTTCCATCAAAGCTTTATTCCTTCAAAACTGAATTGTTTATTAACTGCAATCTGATTTGAGGGAAGCTACATAAATGATTTTCTGGCGGTTGGTAAAACCAAGTGTTTGAAATGTCTAATAGTAGTGTACGACAACGGTACGTATAATAGTCAATGGCAAACATTTCCGCTAAAACGTAAGAGGATAAGAAGAAGAAATCTTGTGACTAAAAGAGAAACCCCTATATCTAAGCGAGCTTTCCTGGAGAGGTAGCAATCTACGGGCTGTGTTCCATTGACACTAGACTTGACTAGCTTTATATAAGCTTAAAAGAAAGGTCTTACTTAGCTTCTCTTAGTACTAATACTTTGAAATAAGGATGGAAAAAATCATAGTCGAGATTCGATAACGCGGCGGTGTCGCTTTTGGGAAGAACAAGCTAATCCGAGGCTCTGTAAATTGCTTGCAATACTCAAAACGAAGTTACGTCTTAGGTTTTTGGCTGAATGAGTTTTGAAAATACGTGATCAAAGTTTTGGGCAGCTTTGAGGCTACAATCGAGTTTCTGGGAAACTTCAAATGATCATTTGCATGTCTAGCCATGCGGAGTATGTCCATCCTATTAAGTGGTGGAGAGGTAAATTTCTGAAAGTCTCACCCAAAATTCCGTAAATAAAGTAATCATTTCTCATAATCTCTCCCAATCCTAGATTCCCCCTTTCACTAAGGCTGACTTGACTCAAAAGGATCTCATACCGCTAATGTTATGAATCTTCGATCCCTATGTAAGGCCTGAATAGCTTCTCAAATCTGAAAAGATTGCCAAAGAAAAACCCCCGCTTTACCAGTCTAACAATCAACTAAATCTCGAATTCCCATGGCCCCCTGCTTGAACTGCAACTTTGCATTTAAATCAAACCCGATCAACAGAGAAGTCACAGATACCGGCGACAAAGAAACAGTGCCGACAATATATAACTGCAATTACCAAATAACAGCATCTGTATCGGGCTCACTCTTCATCAAGCTAACGAGGACGAGATAAGCTGCTTGGTCGGCCCAGCATGTGACTTTGCAAGCACAGTCGTCACAGCAAACCTTCTTCGTAGCCCAAACAGCGGCACGGCGGATTCCTGATGCAATGCCCAAAGACTCACAGTTCACGACAGCCGCTGGTAAGCCAGAGATAGCGTAGACCTCATCGTCCTCATATTCCTCGATGGCTGATTTGAAACCTGAAGTGCATTGTCGACAGAGGATTGGAGGAGATACTCCCGGGGCCCTCAATACGCAACCTCTAGGAGGAACACGATAAGACTTTGTCACTTCCGAACTCAGACCCAGGTGAGATCTATGTTCCGGATTAATACAATGACTCCACAGAATATCCGGCGGTACTTCGAGGGTAAAGTGTTCGCATGTAAACACACGACAGGAACTGGCATTGTCCAAGATCTTTGCTGCTTTGCTTGAGCTACTGCGCTGCAGCAAACGGCTATACTTCACAAAACGCTCCCATGTCCTGTAACGTCCGTTGAAAGGAGACCACGTACTCCCCACTAGAGCTGCGCTGTCGCCGTACAGAATATCCCCCTTCAACACACGAGTAGCGCTCAAGTGAAGGACCCCGATTGTGAATGCACATACCATATCTGGATCCGTAACCCCAGCAGCTTCTGCGTATACTACCGAAGACATTCGGTTTGAGCATCCGAAATCATATATTAGATCGTAGGAATTTCTATGACCATGGCAGCGAACATTCCAATCCGACTTCGGGCATAGTCAGAGGCGCTCTGATATGCAAATGGAGCCAGCCCAGAGCAGTCACCGACATTTGCTGCCACCCAGACTCTTGGTTCAATGTCTGACAGGCCTAGATTCATCGGCTGTCCTTTGTGCCTTACCCAATCCTGCTGTGTGTCTCTTATGGCTGTTTGTAGGTCCATGCTAATCAATCCCGTCAATGCGGCTCCTCGAGCGGTTTCTTCAGTCCCTGATTTAATTCGACGAGCAGCGATCGTCAGCCCGGCCAGAAACCCGTTCTTGTCCTCCTCGCGATGATCGAGGTCATAGTCTACGGTACTCAGCAACTGATATGCAATACAGTCAGCTATTTCGTCAACAGGAACAATCTTTTTCAGCAACGCAATCCAAGTAAACACTACACAAGGCGACAAGGGAGCGAAGCCTGGGCAGCTCCATATCGGTTGGATTCTCTCATAGTCCTTGTTCGACCGCCACGCATCGCCACCCATTCCCTTGGGCCCAATACTTGTGAGAGATGTCACATCGGATTTCCCAACGACAGTCATTGAGAGATCTAAGTATTCGAATGAGCGGAGACCTTGGTTTACTCGTCGATAAGTCTCTGCGCAAGCTTCAACGTCGCTAAGTAAAAGTGGATGCAAACCAGAACTGGGAAAGCGCTTTCCCAACAAGGCCCAACCTTCGATCCAACATGATTTGTTGGCGGTTCCTCTAAGGAGATTTGCGAGGCGAAGTTTTTCGCATTTTACAAATGCAAGTCCGTCTTCTGACCCAATGTGCCTCTTTGGCTGTTTGACAAGCAAGTAGTGACAATCGGCTATTCCCTCCGAGGCGGCAGCTAACCCCTTCAAGTTTTTTTTTTGATGTTATTTCTTGAAGCCTGAAACTTTCGTCCTTGTTGTCGGCTGAGAGGCCTTCGCCATTGAACCTGGCAAAGAGTATTTCCAGTGACTGTGGAACAGTTGTCGAAAATGATGAAAGGGCGTTCTTCAAGCCATCCTTATGTTGTGAGTTCGTAGGTGAATACCACGAATACTCCCTCAAAAGCATACAGATGAGGACCGTCTGTTCCAGAATAGCGAAGGTATTCCCAGGGCATCGCCTCAATCCACGACCAAACGGGATCCAAGATTTCACGATACGATCGTCCCTCAGAAATCTCTCACGGGCGAACTTGTGCGGATCGGGAAACGTCTTTTTGCAATGAAGAATCGTGTATAGATTGACCATCAGGATCGTTTCTGGAGGAATGTTGTAATTTCCAAATTGAGAGTGCTTTGTATTTATCCGACCAATAAGGTACGCCCCAGGCGGGTTACACCTCAGGGTCTCTCGAACACATGCGTCAACGTATTCAAGCTTGGTTATATGTAAAGAAGAAGGAGGGTCTGATGGGCCCAAAACTTCCAGAACTTCTGCACGTGCTTTTGCTTGAGTCTCGGGGTACTGTGCAAGGTAGTAAATGGCGGAGGCGATAGCGCCCACAGTTGTCTCCCGACCAGCAGTTAGACTTTGCACAGGTTGTCGTTGAGGATTACTTACTTGTGATCCCAAGAAGATACTGACTATATTGTCCCTTCGCTCCTGATCTGTCATGTCTGGGTGATCCAATATCGCAGACGTCACATCATTGCCACGGTTGGTCCGCTTTGATGACAGGAGTCTTAGAGCATCATCCCCGAGGAGATCAATACGTTTCGCGAGAGACTTTCGTGGAACAATCCGTTCGAGTCTCGAGAAGAATAGGTACAAGGGGCTCGCTCGCTAATTCTTTTGATATAGAGCCGAATTCGGAAACAAATTCGGAATCTGTGTGCATGGCACCAAAGTCGTGGCCAATGACCGTGGAGCTGAGCGCGTCGAACGAATATCGATATGCAAGATCGCTGATATTGACAGCCAACCCTAAATTGGCACCAATGATCTCTATAAACCCCTGGGAAAGTTTTACGAGTGAGGGAATTGGGACTACAGAATTGATGCCCTCTCGTATGATGAGGGAATTCCTTTGCCATGTATCTCCATTGGCCAAAGCGATGCTTGTTGGACCAAGCAGACGCCAGACAAGGGAATCTTTTGAGGGCACTTGTTTAGGAAAAGCTTCGACATTCTTCAAAATTGAAAAGGCGGACTTTGTTTTTCAGTAAGCGAGGTACAGGGTCAGATTACATACCCCTTCATCCAATATGTGCACAGTCCATATTCCAAGCGCCCAAACAAGAACAACTGACTCTCCTCGATCCGCGAACGGAAGCAAGAGCCGCTTGATTCTGACATCATCGGATTCAGCAGCGAGATAACTCTTGAAAAGGGCCCAAGTGCTAACGAGAGGTAGGTGTTTGAGGTTTGCGGGGATCGCAAATATGCTGTAGAAGAACCTCGAGCAGCATAGGAAGAGAACAGTAAGAAATATTTGGACCATGAGCTTGGTATTAGATGCTTGGCTGTAGCTAGGATGGATTTCTTTCACCACCGCAAACGCGGAGGTAAGTGGTTGAGCAAGAGTCAGATCCATATTCCTTCTATAACGAGTGAACAGTTATCTTTGATGGCAGAATGTTTGTTTCAAAGGGCCTTATTAATATAGCCATAGAACCCGGTTGTTTATGCGCACAGGGGATCATAATCAGTTGTGCATTGGCAATGATTTGAGGATTCGTGAAGAAACCGGCCAGCAGAAATACCATACTCGTGCCGTATACTCTTATTATTTCTGGATCTACGTGTCAATCGTAGTACCAGAGCAAGGGAAACATGGAATACCGCGTCATAGAGCTCTCTTTTCTGTAGACTGATGAATTAGTGTGTCCTGGGAGAGTATGCCTGTTTACCTGAATAACCTAATTATCTTGAGACTTGCGTTCCCACTAACCTGGGATGTGGTGCACAATACTATTGTACCGCATTCTGTCTGCCAACTCATTTGACCTGCAGCAGTTATCGTGCTCCTAGAAAACTGTTTCACATTAATCAAGAGACATTCTCTAATGTAACGGATTGACTGGCAAGTGACTGGATACTGTACGATCGATGATGAAATGACCGTAAAGACTATGATAAGTCCGTATTTTTCTCATTGCTAAGCCTCCTGGACCTCTTTACCAACCAATGAATACAGAGAACGGTTGGGAAGACCCCCTCTTTATTTTTACACCGCTAAATCCAAGGAGAGTTTTATACATGCAAGTGTCAGCAGCTAAGTTCTAGACCTCAAGATAACCTGCTTTGTTGGGGCTGGCATGAGCACCCACAATGCCAGTCCTGTCACATATTTGGTTGTTCAATGATCGCTGATACTGTAAGCCATCAGTGGTAGTTTTTCTCAGTTTCCTGCAGCCCATTGACGGCCAGTAGAAGATGTAGGGAGGATAGGGTGCAGTGAGAACCAATTCCAAAAAGGGCAGCTAAAAAAGACACAGTACCGTCGCTGTTATAACACTGGCGTAGCTCTCAGCTCCTCTGACCACTACGTGCTCGCGTGCTGGCGCTAGTCCAGACTTTAAAGCTGCACTTTGTAGCATTCCAGCTGAGAAGCAGATAAGACGCTCAAATGCTTCTTGTGTGTTCACCTAGTACTCGTAAAGAGTACTCGCTGGATGTAATGAAGCAATCAGTCCTTGCCCAGTAGTGTATGATTGCTTAGAGAAGAGAAGGTTGGCTAGCTAGCTAGCCAGAGACGATAAACGCTTATATGCCAGTGTCAAGTCACATGAAACACAGCTCAAAGAATCTAATCACAGCGCAAGACTCTCCATTGGAATCTCAATAATAATCAATACAATACCCAAACCTCCAGTACTGTACAGGTGTACTGCACCCACTCATGCTACCTTACACCTTACACCAAACAACACTGAGTTTCTCATACCTTGCGCGCTCACAGATAAGCAAGGTACACAGATGCCCGACTCTAGAAGCTACCAAGAACTTTAGATTTGCATTAGGAAAAACATTAAAGTTGCCGACCTAAGCTATCTCGCTGTTTAGTTTTGAACTCATCCATATAACTTTTCCATGTTAACAATCTTGCGGCGCGGAAGTTCTAACTAGCCGAGCCTCGGCTCGGCTCCCCTGAGTTGCGCGTACTCGGGTAGGTTTCATGTGAGGGCGCAGGCGCTAGCATGGGCTACTTTTACACCAAAACTCATAGAAAAACAACCTCAATTAATTTCACTCACGACTATCAAATACTACTAACCTTTGTAACAGATACTAATTCGAGTATTGCGCGTCGATGCATCAACTTGAATTGTTATATAGACTTAATGTGCTAATACTATTAGGTAGCAAAGTTAGCTAAGCGTAGATTACACACGTAAACAGGCAAAATTCGCGTATAAAATCAACTACCTAATTTAGATTAATACTCTAAGTCTGATTCTTCTTATTATTATTACACATTTAGGTAGAAGCTTTATAAGGTTCGAATCTATATAAATCTTTAATTATAGAAAAATCTGTTTAGGTGGGAAATAATTATAAATTATAGGAAAGTAGGTAAAAGGGCTCTTTTTGGTGGGGTTTGATGGCCCGCCGTAGGCCTGCGCCCTCACACGAAACCTACCCGAGTACAGTACAGTAACAGAATCAGAAGCCAAACTCAATTATATTATCAAAAACACAACTTCAACTCGAATCTCAACATCTCCTTTCTCCCTTTCATTCAGTCCCTCCTTAGCCCAACATGGCATCAGCAACTCGTCTCCCCCTAAAATCAATTCTTTTCACAACCACGCTCGTAATCAGCCTCGGCGCATCCCGAGTCCGGCTTCGCAGCCTCGTTTTAAAAACAGTAACAGGACCCGGAAGCTACAGGCGCTTAGCAATCCTCAGCATCGTCCTCGCGAATATCAAAAACTTCCCCTCGGTCTGGCATGTACGTAGTTCGCTCCCGAAAACCCAAGTTTCCACTAACAGGAACAGTATCGAATTTGGGCCGCAATCCTACGCCATTGTCTCTTCAATAAACCGAATATCCCCTCCCACCTCGCGGCCTCGAGTCTCTTCCTCCCGGTGATTTCGTCCTCCCGCGCTCCGCTGTGGGAATGCGATTACAACTTCCACAAATCAAACTCGACGTACTTCTCTGATTTAGACGTCACACGTTCGCACGCCATCTGCGCGCTTCTCCAGCCGGGAATCAAAGCTCTACAAGAAAACAATCGTACGAAATTGGTTCTCGACAAAGAGGGCAAGGCCGTGGGAGGAAGATGGGGAATTATGCTAGGAGGCGTGATGACGAGCTTCAAGCGCGAAATCGGGATCTACGAAGGCTACGAGATGTGGTCGCGGGTTCTGTGCTGGGATCGGAAGTGGATATATGTTCTCACTCATTTCGTGAAGAAGGGCGCGGTGAAACCTACGGCGTACATTCTTGAAGATGGGAGTTGGTTTGGGAAGAGGGGGTATAGTAAGGTTAAGAGTGATGGCAAGATGAGGACCAAGAAGACGGATGAGAAGGCTATTTTTGCCACGGCCATTTCGAAGTATGTTGTTAAGCTGGGCAGGTTGACGGTTCATCCTGAGGTTTTGCTTGAAGCGTCTGGGGTTTTGCCCGCTAGACCTGGTGGGTGGGCGACGATGAGTGCTGCGTCTACGGGGCAGTCAACGCCTACCATTCTTGTGGAGGGTCAAAAGGAGGAAACGGCACTGGTAGTCTCGGAAACGGATGAATGGGATTGGAAAAGGGTAGAGGCTGAAAACAAAAGGGGCTTGGAATTTGCTTCGCATTTCGCAGCTCTTGATGAACTACACCACGAGTTTTCAGGGAGTCAAGGTCCGGCGTTGGGAAAATATGCTACATTTTTCTAAAAGTTCTGTTCGGTGTTTTGTTTTATTAAATTAGACTTTTTAGACGCAAGCGCTAGATTAGGGACGTCAGGTTGTAATATGTATGTTAAATGATACCATGTATTTCTGCTATCCACCTATTGTTTTTCTTTTACACCACCGTATTAGATTAATTCGTATATACCCATCTAAAAGCTAAAAATCATCAACTCCCAAACAATGCTCATGCTTATGTGTTCGCTCAAAGTCAAAATATGAGGGTTATACAGAACCTCCTCCCATCTATATCACTCGTGGCTCGTCGTATATACACCTTCCACATCCTCATCACCTTTAAGGACTTCTTCATCACAAAACAAACGCACCAACGAAGCCCAGACCAGCCCCAATTAAACCCCCCGTAACCCGAACTTTCTCCCCCGGACTAGAGCTGGTCGCTGCCGCAGCCGAAGAAGTAACACTCGACGTCTGTACCGCAGCAGTCTTCGTCCCCGGGCCCGAAAGCACCGTCACCGCAGCCGAAGAAACAGAGGATGTAGAAGAACTTTGGATGCTCGAACTCATAGAAGTGGTCGAAGTAAAATTCGACGTTCTAGAAGTGATAAGTCCGCAGACTAGGACGGCGTTCTTTTGTGCCGCTATTTCGCTATTAGTATTTCGGTCTCCTTCCTCTTTTGATATGAAATAATGAAGAGGATAGTGGGAATAGAAAGGAGATAAAGAAAGACGAAATCAACATACTTAAAGCATCAGGAATCGTACACCCGGTTGCGATACAAGGCGTGATATTCTTAATCACCTCCGGCTTCGCAGTTCCACACACACACTCGTAATCGGTACTTCCACATCTCGCTGTTACAGCGCCTTTGGCTATACAATCTAATGCGCACAGGGGGATCTGGGAGAGATAGGTGGCTATGGATTGTGCGTTTGTGATTGAAAGATGAAATAGAATAATGGAAATTGGAATTGAAATTGAAGGGAAGTGCATGTTTACTCAGGTGATAGTGGGTAGAGAAACGTGGAACGAAAGGACAGAGGTACACAGGTACAAAGATGGGAATGGCTTCTTTTAGATCTCAAACACTAGCAACTAACCTGGGTTTCCTACCTTGTCTTTTCTGTTCATGCTATGCCATGTTCGTGAAGGAGAAGTGGAGAGGTATCTAGGCGGTAGAGTAGAGAAAGGGTCCTTGCTGCGGCGCAGTTGATCATCCATTGATTTCTTTTCCATGCATCAAGCAATGATCGATTTCTACTCCCTACCAAACTTGAGCAAGTCGACGGGAGTGGGGTAAGATCTTCTTCTACAGTACTTGAGTAAATACAAAAGATCTCCCCCTCCCCCACACCATCAAACTGTCACACCATGTATCTCCTCCACAAAAGCCTCTTCAGCCATGAAAACCACCTCCATCATCCCAAAAGAATCCGACCCCAAACAAGCTGAGAATACAAAACCAATATACCCAATACGACAGTACCCCTGCTCATAACGTGGTTCAGCCGTCCAACATTACCGGTTCCGGTTGTGGCTGCAGCAAATTAAAAATTGAGAGACGTCGGAGTGTAAGCCTCCCGAGTTGAAGGAGCCAATTGGATGGCAGTGAGATGGGGGTTATTGCACTCTACGCCACTTGATGTTGGAGATGTTGCAACCCTAATGTTGAGTTCGATAGTGGTATTTGTACGTACTCACCAGTACTCGTACATTTAACATACTGTCTTTGGGGCGAAGAGATTTGCGGGTTGAGCTTGTTGGTCACGTTACTGATTCGTAAATAAATGCATTAACGGAGGTGTTCTATGTCTGAAAGACCAAGATTAGAGTCCTTGAGGAAAACCAGCCGCTATGACCAATCTGGGAATCGCGAACAATGTGCTTCAGACCCACGAATAGATAGGCCCCAACAGAGAGAAGTCCAGCTGTACGAGTACGTGAGAGCCTAAAACAATCTCCAAGCCAGTCTAATCTGCTAGTCTAATCATTCAAGGCCGGTCGTGGATCACTAGACGTCCTCACTCAAGACTCGGCCAGGTTGGTAAACCTGATAGTAAATGTTATCCAGTTGAGAAGTCCCAATATTTCCTGGTAACTTTCCAAAGCGATTGTCCGATATAAAAAAACAGGTGCCGATCCGATTCCATGAGACACTGAACATTTGATACTCGAGTAGTGAGAAGAGGACGAAGTGATTACTTGCTGCTAAATTGTTACATACCGATACAAATACAGATCAAAAGAACCCCATGACTTCCATAAAGCTGACACGTATACATCGAAAGGTTCGGCGCAAATCACTTCTTCCTCAACAACCCCTCCGCATCCCCTCTCTCCTCCTCCCACCACCCCTTAAATACCTTCAGCCTCTCTGTCCTCTCCCTAGCCATCCTCTTCCCGGGAGCCGTCTTCATCATCCCCTCCAATTTCTCAAGCTTATCCTCGAAATGCTGGATCGTCTCCCCCATATCTTTTGCGTTTTTCGCTCCACCGAATGTGAACGTCCTCCCAATTCCAATTGCGCCAATAGCATCCAAGCGATCCGCATCCTGCACAACTGCCAACTCGGGGTATCGCTGAATCATGCCTTGAACTGCTGCAGGATCTTTGATTTCAGACGAGTGCGAGACCCCAGATACGATTCTTTGGACTTTGATTGCTAGTTCTTCCTCTGCGCCGAAGGAGAGTAGTGCTGCGAGGACGAGGGTATTTGAATCTTGGCCGGGCTCGAGGTATTTCTTATCGCCAACATCGTGTAGCAGCGCACCCAGAGTTATGACGTGTAAATCCAATTCCTGCTCGCCATTCCCATCCTCCGCATTTTGCGCCTTCTGCGTGTTGATCTCGGTATATATCTTATGCGCCAACCCAACCACCCGTCGGATATGATTGAAATCATGCGAACCATCATATTTACTCATGTACTTTTCCACGAAAGCACTAACCTTCGGTATCAACGCAGCGTTATGACCCTTTTCCCCTCCCTTCCCATTGCCACCCTTCTTCACACTTACTTTTCTCTTCTTCGCTGCGCTCACCCCACCACCTGCCTCCCCCTCCTCCTCACTGAACTCCCTAAACTCAGGAAACTTGCTCCGTCTCCGCAGACCAAGTTTCGCACGCAACCGCGCAATATTCCGATTCTTCATCTCGTAGCCTTCAGAGGCCAGCTCCGCAAAGATCTGGTCATCGTTGTAGTTCTTGTTGTAGTAGTACACGATGCGATCTTGGATCTCTTGCGAGGGACCGCCGCGCTGCTTCTTTCGGGGGATGTTCCATTGTGTAAGACGACGCGAGATGGTGCGCTCGCTGACGTCGAGGCCGTGTTCGAGGTTGAGTTTGCGGGCGATGTCGATTATGGGGACGTCTTCGGTGCTGTGATGGTAATTGTGTTAGAAATTAGATTGAGGGGAGAGGATCAGAGGGGTGAAGGAGGGGTAATCTTACCTGAATAACCGGACGATTAGGTCTTTATACGGTTCTAGAGGGGTGAATTGGGGGCGTCCTGGTGGCCGTTTGTTGGTATTGACCGGACTTGCCTCCGGGCTGAGAGTCTCGGACATCTTGGATGATGTTGATATTGACCTGGGGTGTTGTTATTTCTAGCGGGACGATGAGGTTGGGGATGTCCTCGGGTGCTTACCGTCCGCCGTAGGAACTCGGTGTAAGTCCGAGCGAAGGCTTGGCGTTCTCTTTTTCGTCTTCATTATCGTCGTCTTCATCATCTTCGTCGGATTCTTCTTCAGTTGACTCTTCACCCTTGGATTGTGTTGGTGTCGAATTGTTAATTACTTGGGATCCGGGTCTGATCTGCTTATCCTCATGATCCTTCTCGTGTCTACTGGCAGCCTTTCTGAGTTTTTCGCGTTCTCGTCTATTCCAACGCTGTTTGGATTTGGCCAATTTCGTCTTCTTCTTCTTCTTCTTCTTTATGCCACTAAAAGAAAAGCAGTCAGCAACTGATCAAGGAATTAGAAAGCGTGAACAATCGGGGTCAAACAGAAAAGTTATAGTCTTAGCCCGAGGACGGTAAAGCAAAAAAAATCCAGGTTCGAGGGATATGAGCGGTCATGTTGAAGCAATCCTTCTAAATAGCCATGGAACGAAGAATCAAACCAACACCGGTGAAGCTAGAACAATCCAATCTCGCAGAAATACCCAAGGAAAGGTAAAGTAGAAGCAATCCAAGTCTAGCCAAGAGATGGTATAAGTAAGTGGGGAAAAACCATGTACATTGGGTAGTTCAAAGGAGTGACTTCTCGCCCTCCAATGTGGCTCTTGACAGAGGGAATTGGCGGAGACCTGCTGGATACAGGAGGGGGTGCCCGAGGCATTTTAGGAGATCCTGCGGTGGAGATAAACAATGATAATCGGTGATGTCTTGTGAGGCTCGTGTGGGGGATGGAGGGGAATATAAAAGAGGATGATATTATGAGAACCCATAGGAGAGAATGAAGGGAGACGGACGATGCGGAAGACATGGCAGCGAAGTGTTAGGAAGGAAAGAACGACTACGAGTTGTTGTGACCAAGGATCAAGGACCAAGGTAAGGCAATAATAATGTTACTGGTTACTCGCTCCTTCATTACTCTACCTACCTACCTTGTTTAAACTTACGCCTGTTGATATTGCAGAACCTGCTGGCTGAGCTTGAAATGGAAAGGAATGGGGTGGGGGAGCCGCTTCATTCCGCAGTGAGCCTGAGCCTGGTATCAGTACGAGTACAAGCACTGGAACTGGGCTGAGTAGCCAGAGGATCAGGCAGTATACACCACCATACTCGGTAGGTGTAGGTTAGGTAGGGTAGCTAGGTAGGTATACTGTGTGAGGGGTTATCATGGGCGTCACGGCGTGTCTTTTAAGAACGTGTCAGATTCAGTTTTCTGTCAACAATTGAAACCCAGACAAATATACGAGAACGGAGTAGAAGGCTCATTGATTTCTTTTCAAACTCTTTTATATTAGTTTATATCATGGCAAACTATTGTATGTTGGGTTCAAACGAGCTTCAAGCGCAGTCTCCTATTCAACTTCTACCCATTTCTTATACATATCTCCAGAGAATTCTCTACTTTCTGGTTGCATTCAAAAGATTGCAGCCGTTCAACTCGTTAAGAGTAAAGAATTTGTTTTCCTACTTCACAGGTTCTAATATATTACTACCAATTGGGTATGTTTTGGTGTAATAATGTCATTATTCTGAGTTATTCGGTACTCTTGTTTTTTCTCCCAGTCGGGTAATGACAACGTCTGGATTTTAAACACAAGAAACTGCTGTAAGGCATGCTTGATTTGCTTTGTTCAATGTTCACACATCGGATCAAATCAGGGTTCAGTGTCACAACCTAAACACAACCTCCCCCCTCAGGAGATAGGTGCGGGAGATCATCAGGGGTAAGCATCATGTGACTACCCCCCTTTTGCCTTGGGAGTTTTCATTTACTCAAAACTATTTTTTTTGTCGAGATGATATATACTGCGGATCAAGCCAAAGAGGATGTTCATCAAGATCCAATATTAAAAGATGGCTCAACGACCTGTTCACTTGGGCATACATAATTCCATCAAATCACATGGAATCATCACTCGGCTCTTCACTCGTGGTGCACTTCGCCTCAGACATTCGCCAGGTACGAACCGCCAATCTGCATAGCCTAAATGGACCACCAGATCCCGCGACCGAATCATAATGTCGAAAAGCCGCATCGTGGGGTAGATCTAAAGTATCATGCAGCCAAAGCGGGTGGCATCCTCCTGGTACCTTCATTCTGCGACGCTATGGTTGGGCTTCGCATTTACTGGTTGACTTCCTCGCGGCTCTGAAAATCCACCTGCTTTTCACACGCATACATTCCACAAGATGGGTATACGGAAACCAATGAATTCCTTGTTACACACTGTGCAAAAAACACATGCCACAGATTCCTCAGGTGGACTTTTCTTCAATATACCTCGGGCACCCCGCCCCATGGATTGATGGAAGGATCAGTATGCAGTAGAAATAAGGAAGGAGCAAACACTCGAACCAACGAATCACGTCTACGCCTCAGTTGATACAATGCGGGGGATCTCAGAATTCACCGAGAAACGTCCCTGGTGATCCTTGTTTGGCAGGTCCGCAAGGACTCTGTATGGTCCACTGTTGAAGATCAAGAGATAGGTGCAGCATAATCTAATGGAAGTCTTAAGGACGACTGATCCCTTCACTTTATACTTCTTCCTCAACTTCTAGTTCGAGTTCTCCCGAGTTCTTCCTCTCCATCTTCTTCGTTCTCATTCTTCAAAGTCATCATGATGCAACTATGGAGGATATTTGTCTGGTTTTTCTTCTTCTTAGGCTCAACCAAGGGCGAAGGTTGTAATGGTAGTCCGGCACTTTGTGATCAGAAGTACTCGAACGTCTCCCAGATTGGTACTCATGATTCGGCATTCGTTGGGGAACTTCCCAGTGATAATCAGGAATTGTCGGTTACGGATCAGTTGAATCGAGGAATTCGGATGCTTCAAGCTCAGACGCATGATTTGGTTGGTCAAATCCAGATGTGTCATACTTCTTGCATTTTGGTTAGTTTTTAAATTCATTTACTTGTATTCACTTGTTTACTTCGGTTAAATCCAATTGATGAGTCGTTTGACTGACCGGTTTGAAGCTTAATGCGGGGAGTTTGTTGAGTTATTTGACGACGATTAGAACTTGGATGGATGCGAATCCTAATGAGGTTGTGACTTTGCTGTTGACAAACCAAGATGGTAAACATTTTCATCTAAAGTGATGCATGAGTAACTTGCTAATTTTCTATCAGCTATCGACATAGCAAAATACAACTCAGTATTCGTCCGAGCCGATCTCGACAAATACACCTTCAAGCCCAAAACCCGACTCGCAATAGACGACTGGCCCACTCTCCAAGAACTAATAACCGCTAACACACGCCTAGTAGTATTCATGGGTACCTCCTCCTTCCCTTATTTCCCTTCCAATTTCCATCTTCTCCTCCCTAACACCTCCCAGACTACCACGCAGACACCACCCGAGTCCCCTACATCCTCGACGAATTCCAATACTTCAGCGAAACCTCCTACGAAGTAACCGACGAAAACTTCCCCTCCTGCGACATTGACCGTCCCTCAGGCTCCACAGAAAACCTCATGTTAATCGTGAACCACATGCTACACATCGATATCTTCGGCATCATGATTCCTGATCGTGAGAATCTGGGACGTACGAATGCTGCGACGGGTCCCGGAAGTATTGGTGCGCAGGTGGATGTTTGTAAAAGGAAATGGGGTCGCAAATCGAGGTTGGTGTTGGTGGACTTTTTTGATACGGGGGATGTGTTTACGGCGCAGACGAATTTGAATTCGTAAGGGTTGGGGATTTGTGCTTTGAAGGGTGGAGATTATATGGGAGGGAGAGGAGAGGGATGAAGTGTGAGGTGGTAAGGCAGGGTATTTTGGTTTGAGGTTGTTGGTAAGCGACTGGTTTGGATACAGGTTTAGTTTTTCAGCGAAGGATACCCATTTTTTGGCGTTTTGATGGAAGTAGATAATAGCATTGTTCTAATCACGAAGTTCAGGTAATGAATTAATCTACGCAACTTGGACAGTGGCTTTACTGTGGAAATTTCGATGGGTTAGTTTATGTTTCTGTATATAACTTTGGCATATGATGTAGCGAGGGCTCGTGCGCCCTCTTACTTCCCACTTACCCGTCTTGACCATATTGCACTCTGCTAACCATGCAATTATAATGAAAAGCGGTTGTTGGAAAGATGAAGAGAGGCAAGGGATATTATGATGCTGTGTTAAGTAGAAAGCTCCACGAATATTGTGGGATTGGATTAAGCGCGACAATCTCATATGATCTGCTTACTTCATGGAATTCGATCGGGGAATAACTAATATCATCGGAATTAGCTCAAAGCGTGAGTATACTGTATTTCAAATAAGAAGAGAAATAGATGGGATTAAGTCTTTTCTCTAGGCAAACGTAAGAGACGTGGTTATTACTCCGTAAGACTTGAACACCTAGGTTAGAATAATGTGCTTTTGGAAGCCTCGCTTGACTAAGATAATTACAAATGCTTTGGAGCAAGTAGTTATTTGTGTTAGAGGTTTAGTATGGTAATCTTCTATAATATGTATAGTATAAAGCATTGACCAGGTTCCCTTTATAAGCAGAGACAAAAAAGGGAGGGCTGGCTCCGTTTAGCAAATTGAGGGTTAACGGAGTCCGCAAGAGGATGATTGACTCAACATGCTTACCTACGTGCTACAAGAGCAAGATCATCAAGACACAGGATTTGTTTTCTCTGCTCTTCTTTAACTTATTACTCCAGGACTGAAATCATGCCCCTCGCGGTGTCACAAAACGGTGCTCATCCAGAACTATGTGACTTTTGTTAGCCTCTATCTCGGATCTTTCTTGGACCTCTAACAATTGGGAAAATAATCGCATACGTGCAAGGATCAACAATCAAGGCATATTTTGCAAGTCTCACTGAAGATCTTGCTGTGGTCCGCCTGCCTAGCATTCCGGTTATCTTTCCAGCCCTGTGGGAGTTGTGACGGACAATATCCGCACTTTTTTACCACTAAAATGGGTACACAAATGTCGGATCTTTTTTCTAGTAAAACACTAATTAAGGACGGGAAAAAAGCTGTCCTCCTTTAGTTAGACGGGGGTTACCATTAGGGTATTAAACCTTCTTAAAACCGGACATTGTTTGTTATAACGGTAGCTGTAAAGTTGCACTCCTGTTACTTGTTTACTTATTCACGTGTTGACGTATTTATATGTTAACTTGTTTATCTGCCTATATACTAAGAAATGTACACCTACCTAGGCAGAAAGAAAGGGGAGAAAGGGGAGAAAGGTGAGGGAGGGAGAGGGGGTATGGGAGTATAGGGTTGTAATGGAAGTAGAGACTTATAAGGCGGAATAAGGTCGGAAAGACAAGACAGTCATAGGGAGGAATGGGTAGGACGGGAGAGGTGAAAACGACCAAGTACTGGCAGGTAGTTTAAAGAGGTATAGGGAGGGCGAAAGGCTCTATAATATAGAAAAATAGCTCGCGGTAAGCCTGGATAGCTTCTATGTTCTCTTGAAATTTAGTCGTAGGTATGGACCTATCTGTATCTACCTAGTAGTAGGAAGTGAAATTACGTTTAGTTGGTTGGGGATGGACAATATCAGCCCATAGATACCTAGGGTACCCTTCGTCTTCGCTTAGCGAGGAGGAGGTTAAAGTATAATAGTACTATCCCTACTTGCTCCTAACTTTTTAAGCTCAATTAGTCGGGGACGGTCAATGTCCGTCCCCAAGTCCCAGAGGGGCAGTTAGTCGCCTCAATATTGTGCAGCCAATCTGGAATTTGAGAATAAAATAAAAAGAATAATAATTTGTAGACTATCGATTAAGTACTAACGATGATCCATTTTCACGAGTCTTTCAAATGCCTGATCGCTCTCATCGTCCAAGTCTCCATAATCCCCTGGTATCTGCGCTCGCACGCGTCTCGCTTCCTGTCGTTGATGCTCGGCTTCTTCTTGTCGAGATGGATCCATTGCCAAAGCGTTCGAGCGGGCGTGGATACATCGGCAAAGAATACCAATTGGAACTTTTACGAGCTTCCCAATAGCTGCTGCTGCCTCAGTTTCTTCGCTGGATTCCATAGTTAGTAGGCGTGGGGGCGAGGTGAAAAGATACACGGATTCTCACATGGCATCTTTAACGCGGCCTTGCTTCAGAGCTATATCACCAGCGCGATATGCACAGTATGAGCTTAGCCAACTGAAACGAGCAGAGAGTCCCGAAGTCTGCAGAATATTCTTGGCTTTATCAACGTGACATTTCGCATCATCAATTAGGCTCATTCTTGTTCGAAGCGGAGCGAAGGTGAGATGGGCACTGATGAATGTTAACTGATCTGAACTTCGTGGGTACCAGCGGGAATACCGTACTAAACCAGCTGATACCAGCCTCCCAGCTCCTCTGCGGCCGCGATAGCTTCAGTCAGGAGAGCCTCTGCTTCCTCAAATCTGCTCATACAGTAGTAGTTCCTGGAGATATTGAATCTCCAGACCATCTTTCTGGTGGGTATCACACCGGCTGGTCCCTCAAGAATTTTACCGGCTTGAAGTAGCAGATTGAGGCTTTCATCATAGCGCTCTTGAGCACCGACTGCCATGCCAAGCCAGCTGTAGGAAAGAGACAGGAGTAGGTCCTCAGATGTAAGTAACTGCTTGCGGATACTGAGACATTCAGTCATCTCTGTCTCAGATCTTGAAAACTCAGAAGTACAGAAGTGATACATGCACTTCAACGATTGCAAGTGTGCCCAGATGAGTTTGTCGCGCTCGTCCTCTGGACATTGCTTATAGGCCATATCAGCAGTTTCCAGTAACCCAACCACTGGATCGGTTGTATCGTTGTCATGTATGCCACTGTCTAACGGTCAACTTCGCTTAGCAATCAGAAGGGGGTTGCTGCATACTTTGCGGCATTAACAAGAAGATTGACAAAGTCCATATTAGCTCTGAGAGGATTTGGCTTCGTGATGGAGTCCATGTAATTCTTGGCGAGTGCTATGACTTGCGGGATATACATTTCGTACAAAATCCATTCTTCGTCGTCATATTTGTTGTCTCGCTCCCTTGGAAACTTGCCAAGCAATAGCCTGGTGGTAGCCTCAAAAGTCTCCTGCCGTTTATCCATTCTTGTTCGATATTCCGCCTGCACTAGTCGATGGATTCTGAAGGTGCTCTCCTCAATGTTCTTCCTCACCAAAACATGGTGGGTCAGTTCCTCGAGAGCATCTGCAAGACTACACCTCCGTCAGCTGTCGTGATGTTCTATATTACATAATTTTCCTACCTCATTTCATCTGCACAAAAAATAATCAAACTTGGTAGATCCTTCCCCCGTACAGACTTAAAAGCTCTGTAGGCACAGAATCCGGGGAGAGAAAGCTCAATACTCCGGGACAAGTGCGAGCGTCGTCGCTGAGGTTGGTGAAAGGGATTTCAAATACAGTGTCGAGAGAGTGTTGGTATCCCAAGTACTTTTACCCACTCTTCCTCTGCTTATGCAGGCGCTGCTCATATTTGAGGTACAAATTATGGAATTCGCTAATCGAGGAGTTCTGGGCATTGATAAAAGCAGCCATTTGGCTAATGGGAAGTGGCAAGCCATGTAGTAAAGTCGTGACTTGATGGGCTGCATTAAGCTCTCCTTCGGATCGCTTTCTATTAGGCGTCATATGGAGCAAAAACTCAGCCCCATCATCGACCCCAAGCTCGTTAACCTCCAAGCCAATATCAAAAGGAAGCGTAGCAACAAGGACGTCTTGAGTTGTCACAAGGACTGCCCCATGTGTGGATACAGGCCAGCAATCATCAAGCGCGTTATGAGTGTTGACATTGTCAAATATCAGTAACCATCTCGCAGCTGAATCATAGTTAGGAACCGTTTCAATGAATGATAACTAGCCAGACTTACAAGTTGTATGTAACCAATTCAAGACCAGGATCATGTTCTCCTGATAGGACTGTGAATGCGCGTTCAGGAGCTTAAGGTAATCGACAGCAACACGACTAAATCCTTGCTGAATAGAGAAATAATCTTCAGAAGGGATCCACAACACTGCATCAAGCTCGTCGAGTTTCTGGTACGCATAAGCCAGCGCAATCTGTGTCTTTCCAATACCTCTAAGGCCATACAGGGCTATCGAGGAGAAGTGACTATTCGTATCTGAAGGTAGTAAATGCTCTTCCAGCTGCTGCAACATATCCTGGCAGCCAAAGAATCGACGGTTCTCGGCTACAGGAAGGTTGTTACATGGAAGAGTTGCCCTGTCTGGTCTAGGTCTTCCTAGCGAAATCAAATGCTGCATAACTTGCATGTTTTGAATATCACGCGCTTGTTTTTCTGCTATTTTGGCGACTCGTTCAATCCGCATTACAGCCTCATCAATATTTTGGTAAGCCTTGTTGTAAATTGTCGTTAGACTTTCCCAAGCGTTTTCACTAAATGAGACTAGCTAAGGTCAACAACATCGTCAAAGAAGTAGAGCGACATGGTTACAGCATGCTAACATACCTTTGTCCCAAAATCCTCCATTTCGGATTGCCATGATAACGTTCAACCAGAGGACAATGATTTCTCGGTCCACTTTAACAGTATCACCTTTCACTTTCGAGAAATCGGTGATGATACCTTTGCAGTCGTTTGAGGCCTTCAACTTCTGCCCGATTCTCTCCAGCCATCTTGTGATACGAATTATCGGGGTGATTTCACCAGTGTTGGCTGGGTTTGTTGTGTTCAGAGCAAGCTAATCAAAGTCAACAGGAATTGATCAATTCGCAGATGGTTGTGGTATAATTCTGCGTATTGTGAAGACCAGAGACAACAGACCCCACATCATTGATATTTCCACGGGATTTTCCATCATGCTAATAAAGCTCTCGGCGAATGTTTTGTAGTGCTCCAACATACGATACATCAACAATATGGCTTTGGCGGATCGCTCATCTTGATACTCGCTCATGAGAGTACTCAGCGCACTCCGAAAGTCCCCAATTAACTCAACTTCCATAGCGCCCTCATAATAATGGGTTTCCAGAGTCTTTTCGCACTCCTTCAAAGTGTCCTGCCAAGATTGCGTCAAGCCTCAGTAAAGCTGAACACACGACGCCGGAATGATTACTCACAATGTAGTGCCATCAGAGGCTCCCGAGAGAGGATCGTTCAATCGCATCGCTCTAAGTTAGGATGCTAGGGCTCTTGGAGTCTTGTTCTTGACGATGGTGGGGAATCTAATCCTCAAGTGAGGCTATCCCTAGAAGACTGACGCAGTCGATAAAATTTACCGTCGTGTTACGATATCACAAGTAGTGTAGAATAAAGATTCCAGAATAGGGTTGAAAATGATCGTTAGGGACGAAGAGATCTAAAGGCTAGCTATCATTTATACGCAACGAGAGTCTAGTCCATTCCCAATGAGCCAACTCCTACCCCGCACCTGTTCACTAAGCGAGCGAACCCCTATGAATATTAATATTCACTAAACCATTCGTACCCTTATATTTTACTACCCAAAGCAGATATGGGTCGCTGGTTTAAGCTTCCCGTATTTACGTTATTTACGTGTCAGTGCTAATACACATGAGATTATAAATTGCCATAGGAGAGAGTTAGTAAATATGTTATTGAATTATCTTGTATAGTAGGTACCAATGAGATACTAGTTAATGGTCTATGTAAGACTTGATGTATGTTATTCACATGACGAGACACAAATCACCTTGCTGACAAAAACATGGAACCTACCCTGATATCCCTGATTCGGATTTCATGACTATGTTGGTGGAAACAGAGCATTTTCCTTCCATGTCCTCGTATTGGAGTCACAACTCCATCATTGGGAGATACTTATCTCTGTCCTCTTCTAATCGGGTAAATTCTTAGTCCACGTTTGTTAATAGAGCTATTATTAATCACAAACAGACAGGATAGACGACGTGGGTCAAGATTTGTACAATGGTCGTTGTATCAGTTGGTTCTTGACTCTGGAACGCGTGAATGGGATAGAAGGTTACTTCAGAAGCGCTAACATGGGAGCTATCTGGCTGAAGTCATGAACAGAAAGCAAAAGGATGGAGATTCTCGTCAAGATTATTTGAGCTCTTGTCGAATATCACAGGGTCCCAGTTATTTTTAGCGAGATGCAGACTATATATCATTCAGCAATCAGGGAATTGAACAATTCCGTCTCTACCCCAAATCAATAATATTTCAACTTTTACTCATCTGGATCCGTTTCACAAATGCCCTGCCATCGCTTTACATGTCCACCAAACGCCTAGCCCAATAAAAACCGTACCTCAAAGCTATAACAGAGTCTCACTCCATCAGTCTGTTTCTATTTCCCCGTGAGTCAATTACCTGTAGGCATTGCCATAGGTTGGTGGCGGTGGATAGTTCATCTGCTGAAGATTGACATCATTCTGATCATCAGTCCTCCAAGGTTGGGCCTGATAACCACCTGTTCCTCCGGTAGCAACAGCATCTGCAGTCTTCTGTTGCTGTATATTTCGCCTCCATCTCCAAAATGCTAGTGTTCCACTGACAATAACGACAAGAAGGGCGATGGAAAGTAGAGCCCAGTTGAATCTGGAGTTCAAAGCTAATGGAAACCCACTAGATCCATCAGTAACAAACCCAAGGTGAAAGAAGAAAAGCAGAAAATACTTACAGAAAACCATTTATGACACCACCCGCAATGACCAATCGTCCAAGCCAAACATGAATAGGAGCCAACTTGGTAGGAAGCTTTGTCTTCTTATACATCCGATGATGCATAAAGCCCAAGACAAATTGTCCAATCATCATGATAATAACCAAAAGGCCGATAATCTGATGTGCCGAGTTGAACTTTTTCGACCGATTATATTTTACTCCAATGGATAAACCCAGAGCAGCTCCAATGAGGCCGAGCAGCGCGGAAAAACCTTGAGCTATGCCATGATATTTAGGACTGTTGAAAACTCGGAGAATGAGAATTGCTAGTGGCATCAAGCCCACAAAAACAAAGACCATGATCAGAGCATGAGCACCAGAAGAGAAATCGCGATCTGCTTTCTCAGAAAGTTCCTGTGAACCTGCCGAACTGGAGTTTCCAGCTGTTAGGAGAAGAGCACCTCCGGGACCAACTGCTTTGCTAAGGTCCATCTTGAACTTTCCATATGATCCATGTCGTTTTGTGTCAGCGCTAAGAGAGTTTGATTTCAGATCTCCAATTCCTCCATTGGCCCAGATGAACTTCGCTGCGGTATCATTTGGGTCAATGGAACCTCCTTTCCATTTCCTGCAATTTGAACACTTCGCATTGATTGTTGCGATATCATCGAAGATTCCCGTTCCAGGCAGAATTGTGATCTTGACATCCTTCGTGTATACTGGTTCGCTATGCTTTCCGGCAATTCGAGGACTAAGGGTAATGTTCTTCCCAGAGGTATCCGAGTAAGACGTGAAAACTAGGGTATTCTCCATCTTATTGTTTCCCATTCCAACCGCCTGCCATGATATTAGGAACGTCTTCAAGGTAGAATCATTTCACATACCAGCCATGTGCATCGACTCGGTCCTGACATAGAGAAATATAGCTCATCGCTAGTCGCGCCATCGGGTATATTGATAGAAAATGAAATACTTTGGGTATCAGAGACAAATGAGCTGAAATTTACAGCTAATACAGCTGGAGAAAAGAAAGCAGCTGGTAGAATGTCAATATCCCAGGGCTACCTCCATCGCGAGTGACAGGGTGGCAGCTTACCTGCAGCGACCAGCACTGAAAGTATTTGCACCATTTCGAAGATTAAGAATAAACTTTTTAGACAAGAATAAAATGATAAGAAGAGGTATGAAGAATAATGTCCATCATGGAGAACACGAGTTTCTTTTCAATGAGCTTTTCCTGGGTACAAAGGCACTCAGGAGATGTCGCTGCAGGGGTTTAAGTGCTCACCAAAAATAGCCAAGACCAATCGGAAAGCTCGATGACATGGAAGCGCCATGGTCGAAAATAGCTTGCATGCAGAACGGTTGATAGGCCAGATTGGAGTATATATTTTGAGGCAGTTGATGCAGATATTTGCTGAGTAAGTGTTGAAAAGACTGTTAGCAGAGCGGGCTCTGTACCTGCAACATATTGAGAGCATCCATTGGGGACGCACATCCGAGAGGAGTGGTACTGGGGTATTTAGTATTAAATATTCACAATAAATGGAAGAGCTTCAATGTGATCATTTTGATGCTTTTAAAAAAATTTGAGAGGACTTTTTCAGAGAACCGTGATGGCAAAGTCAAACCCTAAGCTACTAGAAGCAGCAGCATGATTGTGCACTTCCAGAGTTGGCGAATAAAATACACTAGAGCAAGGAATTACGACAGAAATAGGTCATAGTACCCAAATTAATCCTACCAAAGCTAAAATTAAGCAGAAAATCAGAAGGAAACAAAGTATCTTAGATCCCCTTGCTGTTTTTTTTTCATTATTTAGCCCTCAGAAGCCGTATTTATTTCTTTCTTTCAACACATGTAAGTTGGTTTGTCACAAATCAAACTCTATATCAGGTTAGTGAACAACTTTCGTGAAACATTCATTTCTCTCAAGCAAAATTTAGTCATGAGCCCGTTGAAGGAAAAGGTTTGCACTAATAAGTCGCAGGCCTACAATGAAGGGCTGATACAGTATCCATGACAAAATAACCGAGACAGGAAATCGTCCAAGAAACTACAAAATTATCAAGAATCAGAACAACATTGAATTTCCGCCTGAGATTTATCCATGGTGTAAACATTTTGTTACTCTGATTTTCGCGAAGACAGCTCGCTCGTCTTATTGGAAAAGGGGGCCTTTCGCTTAAGCTTAGGACTAAACGGAGTTTCGACGGCAAGTTCCATTATAAATCTACGATGAAAGTCATTGCCTCTTTAATCTCCTTCTTATGACTCACAACTTGCAAGTTGATTTCGTATGGGCTTCAAACTTGCCTCGAGATAGCTTTGAAGGTTTTACATCTAAGGTCGCTTGTGCGCGCCGTGTATTAGAAGGTCTTGAAAGTGGCTCTCATTTTGTTCAGGGATCTGAGCATTTAATATGAAGATGTCAAATCTGATACTTCAAACTTTGCCCTTGCCCCTGTGCCCCACCACTCTTCAACATCTTCTCTAGAATCTCGAGATCTGCTAGAGCGTGCTGTGGTGATTGTTTTGTGTTGAAAACTCCGTCCGCAATACTCTTGGCCCATGCAGCAACTTCCTGCTTAACACCACTTCCTTCCTCTTTGAATTCCTTGACGGATTCAACGTTCTCCTTCTCCTCTCCTAGTTTAACCGTCACTTTTCCAAAAGAAACTGTGACACTTCCTTTTTCGCAAGCGACCACGTATTCGCTGCCCGAGAGAGTGGTTCCGAAAGATACGGAAAAGGTGCCCGAAATTCCAGAGGCAGTCTGCCAAACCGAGTTGACCGTATCAACTGGAGGAAGGTATTCTTGTAGAAGCGTTGTATAGGCCGTCAAATTCGTAGGTTTGTCTTTCTCTCCGAGTAGCAGTCTCGTACCAGCCACGAAATGTACCCCGCCATCAAGTAGAAATCCACCTTGATATTCAGGCTTCTTTCGCCATGGGGTTTCTACTCCTTATTGTTATTATTATTATTATTCCTTTTAACGTGCTGTGTGAGTCTGAGACTATAGTAGCACGGCTGGGGGTTTCCCTCCAACAGATGAGTAAAGCTGTACTAAATACATGTTTGAGAAGGGGGTTATGGTCATTACAGTTCTTGGGTTGTTGGAAGCAGCTAGGCTTCTGGTTATGACAAAAGAAAAGTTGTTATGTTGTAGTACGCCCCCTCGTTTCACGCTCTGTACGCTACACTTTCTCGTTCTCGTCTTCCTCGTCCTCATCTTCGTTCTCATCCTCAGTTGCGCGTTGTGTGTGCCATATTCTAGTGGCGATTTTGGTGGTTCGAATAAAGTCAAGTGTGGCCTCGACTCC